TTATTGTTTAACTGCTGCTCGTTTGCTGATAGCCCAAAATTGGAAGAGCCCAATTCTGCCTACAATGGAAGACTGGAGATTGAAAGTTTCGAATCTTGCTGAAATGGCAAAGATCTCGGCTTATTTGAAGAACTATTCGAATGAACAATTTTTATCAATATGGAGAAGATGGATTGTTTATATTCAAAAGAAGCATAGATAGGTAGAATATAACTTAGGTTTTTAGATTTTCTTACTTTGTTTACTCTTTCTATCTTTTCATGTAGACTAAGATATTTTGTGGAGTTAGAGATATTAGTATTTGTTTACTTATATATGAATATTATCCGGGGACTAGGTTTGGGAAGTCCGGGGGGGGGGGTTAATTTTTTACTCTGTTTATTGGATTATGATTGTTTTTTATGATGAAAATAATAAAAAATTTTGGAAAAAAAAAATAAAAGCCCAGTCCAGCACAATACCACTGAAAAAGAAAAATAAGAAATTCAAGAAGAAACCAGCATGGCTGCACAAAGATCTCTCTGACAAACTGAAAGACAAAAAGGACAAATACAAAAAATGAAAAGAGGGGCACATAATTAAGGTTGATTATTAGCGGACAACCAGAACATGCAAAGATGAAGTCAGGAAAGCAAAGGCTCAGAATGAACAAGACGTGCAACAGAAATCAAGGATAATAAAAAAAAGTTTATTTCAATATATTAATAACAAAAAAAGTCAAGGAAACTATAGGTTCACTAAAGAGAAAAGATGGCAAGGAAGTAACAAGCAGTAGGGAGAAAGCAGAGCTGCTTAATTCATTCTTTGCATCAGTCTTCACACAAAAAGAAATTATAGTAAAACATACCAAAAAAACTCCTGCAAAAGACAAACTAGAAACAAAAATTAAAATAAAATAAGCAAGAAAATGGTAAGACCTATCCGACCTTGACGAATATATATCACCGGGACCCGACAGATTACATCCCAGAGTTCTGAAGGAGCTGGCAGATGTTATCCCAGAACCATTACACCATATCTTTAAAAAATCACTGGGAAAGTATCTGAGGATTGGAAAAGGGCTGATGTAGTTCCCATCTTCAAGAAAGGGGGGGAAAAAACAGAACCAGGAAACTACAGACCAATCAGCCTAACCTCAATACCTGGGAAGATAAGATAATCAAAAAACAGATCTGTGAACATCTAGAAACAAAGTTATAATGGCAGCCAGCACAGGTTTGTTAAAAACAAATCATGCCAAACCAATCTTATTTCATTCTTTGATAAAGTGACTAAATTGGTAGACCAGTGAAATGCCGTGAACATACTATACTTAGTAAGACATCTGACAAAGTAGACCACAACCTACTGCTTGGTAAGCTATAAAAAGATGGAATAGACAACATCACCACCAGATGGATTTGTAGCTGGCTGACAAACCGTACTCAACGAGTAGTCCTCGATGGTACCACATCCACATGGAGAGAAGTAAGCAGTGGGGTACCACAAGGCTCCATCTCAGGCCAAGTACTCTTTAATATCTTCATAAATGACTTAGATGAGGGAATAGAAAGGGAACCCATCAAATTTGCAGATGACACTAAACTGGCAGGAATAGTTAACACCCCAGAAGAAAGCTCAGGATCCAAAAAGACATTGACAAACTTGAACAATGGGCCCTATCCAACAAAATGAATTTTAATATGGAGAAAAGCAAAGTTTTACATCTAGGCAGGAAAAATCAAAGGTATAACTAAAGATTAGGTGAGACCTGGCTCAAAAAAGTAACTGGGAGAGGGATCTTGGAGTTCTAGTGGGCGATCACTTGACTATGAGCCAGCAGTGTGCAGCAGCAGCCAAAAAAGCTAATACAATCCTGGATTGTATAAACAGAGGCATAGAATCAAGATCATGTGAAGTATTAGTACTGCTTTATAAAACCCTAGTAAGACAACACCTGGAATATTACAACCAGTTTTGGTTACCATACTACAAAAAAGATGTTGAGACTTTGGAAAAAATTCAGAGAAGAACAACTAAAATGATCAAAGACCAGGAGACTAAAACATATGGATAACGGTTGCAGGACTTGGGTTTGGCTAATCTAAAGAAAAGAACAAATAGGGGTGACATGGTAGCAGTATTCCAGTATTTGAGAGGCTCCTACCAAGAAGAGGGGATCAGATTATTATCCAAAGTGCCAGAGGACAGAACAAGAAACAATGGTTGGAAACTAATCAAAGAGAGAAGCAACCTGGAATTAAGGAGGAACTTCCTAACAGTGAGGACAAATAACTAGTGGAACAGCTTGCCCTCAGAAATTGTGGGTGCTCCATCATTGGAGGTTTTTAAGAAGAGACTGACAGTCACTTGCCTGAAATGGTATAGGTTCTCCTGCTTGAGCAGGGAGCTGGACTAGAAGACCTCCAAGGTCCCTTCCAGCTCTATTCTATTCAAGAGTGGCCTGCGTACGGGATGCCTGAGGTAAATGGGTGTGGGGCACATGGGACAGCTCCACCCCCAAAGAAATAAGCCCTAGTGCATTTTTTGGTGTCCCCAAAAATATATGCTAATGTCTGATTTTCAGGGAAACACTGGGTAGTGGTTCAGTTCTGCTCCCAACCAAATCACAAAATTCCAGAAACTTTAACAATCTGCTATTGTGAGCTGAATCAAGCCAAGTCCACATCATTGTAGAACACCTTTATCTAAGCCAATCCAAATCTGTATTGTAATACCAAGGTGGCTACTGTGTTCACAGTAAGATCATAGATAACATTCAAGAGCATTGAACAACATAATCTTCATGGTCTCTGCAATTCTGTGATGTGTAGTATAGTGCTATATGCAGATGTGAAGCACTCTCTTTTCAATGGGACTATATTCCTAGTCTCATTGTACTATTTCATTTATAAAGACCTATGAAATCTCTCCTGGTCTGAAAAAAAAAAGTAAAATGCTTACCCCAAGGAGGATTTCCAAGGTCTCTAAAGTGAGTTGTAATACACACTAGATCAGTTTCTATTTTCAATTCCATCTCTCCATTTAGATTTGCTTCTATTACCTACATGGAAACAAATCAGTTTTGAGAACCATTAATAACATTTTCCAGTTCATTCTGACCATATGCTTATGTATACAACTATGCAGCATAAAAACTGCACTGAAACCTGAGCTGATCACTTAGTATTTGTGGAGTTACCTTCAGCATATACTGTAGTTTTGAAGACAGAATTTCAAAGAATGAGTCTTGGTATTCTGAACAACCATAAAAAGCAGAGTTGCTAATTAAATAGATTCCCCTCTTAACCTAGATTATTGTCATCCTGGTAAGAGCTGTTTAATTTTAAAATAAATGAAGTCTTTTTCACCAGGGATACACTCACCCCCTACTAACTAATAGACTGTAAGAGTCCAAGCAGTCTGGTAAATATACAAAAGAAAAAGGTATATATGGAATATTTATAAGAATTGTAAAGCTGTACACTCTTAAGAGTATGTTTATTCTTTATTCTATTTTATTCTATAGCCCATTTCCAGGCAAGTCTACAAATATCAATATGCCTATTGGTATCTTTCTACATGCCTCCTAAGTTTTTTTATCATTTGATGTTAACTTAGATTCTTTTAATTAACATTTTTATTATTTTAATTTTCTGTAATTAAGAATCATTTACCAAAAAATGGAGAGGGGAACGGTGAAAAAAAACAACAGTCACTAGCTTCATTTTATTTACACAATATAGGCTTCATAGCATTTTTAAAAAAAATAAACTGGTTTTTTTAAGAGGATGCCAGTTGCCTGGAAAAATAAACAAAAGAACTGAGAATAAAGGTGGGACTTCTGGTTTTGTCGCGCGGCGAGACGGGCAGAAGAAACCAAAGCTCTGGTTCCCATGCTCGATTTCAGCCTGCTATGGGTCCAAAAAGGACTGAAAGTCACCCCGTAGAGGTGACTGACCAAGAGGGACCCTTGTAGATCGCAAGAAGGTGGTAGCCGACCCACTTGATCCAAGGAGCCCACCGGAGCAGCAGCAGAAAGACTGGCTCCATCCACGTAGCCAGTCAGAAGCTGCTGACTGCCGGGAGGAAAAGCAATTTATTATAAGCACAAGCAACATTTTGGACTGGGGTGAGACTATTTTCCTTTTTTTCTCTACAATTTGAAAACCTGTCTTCGGGGGGAAAAAAACATCCGAAGCAATTTCCCGGAATTGAGGGGGGGTCTATCCTCCCTTCTAAAAGGCAGCAGTTTAAGCGTTCGGAGGAAACAGAGAAGTCTACAACATCATTGTAAATATAACAAACAGAAACAGAAAAAAGAAAAGTTTGGGTTTTTTTAACTTTTTTCCTCTTTTTTATATATTATTTTATATTACTTTTGGAGATTATTGGACTAAACTTGGTTTAAACCAATGGTTCTCAACCTTCCTAATGCCGCAACCCTTTAATACATTTCCTCATGTTGTGGTGACCCCCAACCCCCCATCCAGCTGGCCAGGGAGGGGGGCAGGAAGGCCGTTCCGCCGGCTCCGCCCAGCCTGGTTGGAGAAGCGCCCAGGCGGGGAGAGGGAGAGAGAGAGAGAGAGAGAGAGAGAGAGAGAGAGAGAGAGAGAGAGAGAGCGCCAAGAGGGCGACAGCACCGGCAGAGCTTAGTTCAGCCTCCTCCGCGGAAAGGGCCGCGAAGCAGCGCGGCCTCCCTTAGGACAGGGGTAGGAAAACCCAAAACACTCAAAGAGCCATTTGGACACGTTTCCCACCGAAAACAAAACACTGGGAGCCGCAAAACCCTTTTAATATCTAAAATGAAGATAACACTGCATATACAGTTGCAAGAAAAAGTATGTGAACCCTTTGGGATAACGCGGAGTTTTGCATGAATTGGTCATAAAATGTGCTCTGAACGTCATCTAAGTCACAACAATAGAAAAACACAGTCTGCTGAAAATAATAATACACAAACATTACATGTTGCCATGGTTTAATTGAACATAACATGTAAACATTCACAGAGCAGGGAGGAAAAAGTATGTGAGCCCCTAGCCTAATGACG